CCTTCCGGACCCTCGTCTCCGTCTCCGGTCGGGTTTCTGGCCCCACGTTCACCTCGTCCAGGTTGCCACGTCCACGGAGTGACACTTCACGCAGCCTCTTGAATCTAACTTCGGTGACGTGTGAACATCATGCTTTTCAGATTCCTTCACCTTGTCTCTGCTCCTATGTAGACGAATCATAATGATTTATCCCCATGGCCAGGCTCTCCTTAAATCACCCAAGCGTGGCTCCATCTCTGGGGCGGGGGGGGCAGAGGGGAGGAGCTGAGATGGCCAGGCTTCTTCACGGGCTGCAGAGGGGGTGCCCTCCCGCCTGTCGCCGAGGGCAGGTGCAGACAGTGAGGGGAGGAGGCGCTTGGGGGGTTGAAGTGATGCTTTCACAGGGATTGTCATCTTTAGCTGCTGTACAACTTGAAAGGAGGGAGAGAGATTGGGGTCCCTGGGCTGGAGGGGACGGGGAGGAGGGTTGGGGTGGGGAAGCAGGGCTGCTGCAGCCGGAGGCCTTGTGGTGACAGTTAGTTACAGGACGAAACGGCCACTTAGCAGCGGAGTACGGACCGTCACTTGTTCTGTATGCACCTCCGTTTGGGCCACTACTGGCTACTCTTTCCTTAGGAAAGACCCCAATTTGCTGGCTCAGACCTCCCCCCCGCCCCCAAGTAAGGGAGGGCCTGCGAGGCTTCCCCCACAAAGTGCACGCAGCCCCTTCCTTGGCAGGGACTGCAGGTGAGCAGTGAGCGAGCTGTTGCAGCCCCGCCCGGAGGTGCCCCCTTCCCTTTGTGTGTCTCAGCGCTCTCCCTGGCGGCACAAGAGGGTGGTGCCGTGTGGGCCTGCGGTCGGCCTTGGCCCCCCAGGTCTGACTTCTGGTCTGGCCACCAGTTGCCTTCTAGATGGAGGCTTCCCCTGCGAGGGGGGGGTGGGGGTCGGGAGAGCAGAGCTGCTGGGAGGGTGGCTGCTCTGAGCCGGACGCTTTTCTCTTCTCTTTTGGTTTGGTCAGGGGCCAATCGAGGTGGGAGTGGTTAGGTCCTGGGGCTGAAATCGCTCTGCACGATAAAGACTCTGTCTTTCAGGATGTGCTTGAAGCTGATGGGAAGCTTGTATTTCGTTTTGGGGGTGGGGGGTAGGGGGAGGAGAGTGGTCTCCGGGGCAGGGAAGCGGGGCAGGAGCGTGAAGTCTCATCTGCACTTTCATGGCCTCCTGCTGGGCGTGGTTCTGGCCTGTGAGCGGCGCTCTCCACAGCGCCTGCAGAAACGCCGCGTGTGCTCGGGGGCGGGGTAGAGGGGCCGTGTCCACACCAGGGGAGACGCCGAGTGGACGGAGGGCAGACGAGCACTGGGCTGCCGTCAGGATTGAGGATCGAAAGGACCATCAGGCAGCGGTGAGCACCCCCTGAGGGTCCTTGAAGCGATGGAGAGCCTGGGCTTCAGGCTGGCGACTTGTGAGCCGTGGACGGCGCGTGCACAGGATGTTGAACGGAAGAGTCCAGGTTAGGACCAGGCAGCGTCTGCCTAATGGTAGCTCCCCATCCTCATCCCCAAGAGAAAACGTCTTCCCATGACATATTTTAGACAGAAGTCAGCCCTGGCCGGTGTGGTGCAGTGGATAGAGCATCGGCCTGTGGCCTAAGGGAAGCAGGTTTGATTCTGGTCAAGGGCACGTACCTGGGTTGCAGGCTCAATCCCAGCCACTGTCGCCCCTATCAGGGCGTGTGCAGGAGGCAGCCAGTTCATGTCTGTCTCATGTAGATGTCTCTCTCTGTCTCTCCCCCTCCCTTCTACTCTCAAAATCAATGGAAAAATACCCTCGGTTGAGGATTAACAAAAAATAAAAAAACAAAACAGAAGTCACCTTTGAGGTCAGCCCCGGTCACAAGTGTGAGAACAAGTACATGGAAGTCGCGAGCCGGTTTTCAGACGTTAGGGATCCATTTAACGTGACCCCGGTGCCCCCTGAAGGCACAGGGACTTCGGTCCCCCAGCGGGAACGCGGCCCCGGGGCAGGAACAGAAAGCAGCGCTGGTCACGCAGGGTCTGCAGGGCGGTGGGCGGGCGTGAGAAAAAGGAACGGCAGTGATGCAGAGGAACGGGAAGTCACACGCGTGGGGTGTAGCCAGACCCGTGACACGGATCGCCTCTCCGCACGAGCCCTCTTGGGCGGGGGGACAGCGACAGGGACGGGGCCCTGCTGTGGCCGAGGGCGGTCCCATGTGCAGCGGGGCCGCCAGTTCGGTTCCCGGTCAGGGCACTTGCCCGGCTGTGGGCTTGACCCCCAGTGTGGGGCGCGCGGGAGGCGGCCGATGGATGTCTTGCTCTCATCCTTGCTTCTCTCTCTCTCCCTCTAAAAGTCAATAAAACATATTTAGGAAAAAGGGAAGGACACAGGTCTCCCCAGTCCTCCAGGCTGCCCCGGGGCCCACAGGAGACGAACACTTTGCACCCAAGCCTCGCTCCAGTTTCTCAGGAAACTGGTTTTCGCCCAGAGGACTTGGACAGTGGCCACAGGACCCTGTGGGCCGCCACCGCCGACCGGCACGTGGGAGGGGACTCGACAGCTCGCAGGTTAGGTTCCTGGATTGTCGCGAGTTTCGTTCCTTGCAGGGGGGACCCGCCACCCTTTGTGGGGCAGCGACAGGAACGCTGGCCCAGAGTTTCCACGCGCGGTTCCTGCACGCACGCACTTTCTGTGGTGGGACTCGCTGTTGCTCAGAACTCGCCCGGGGGTTTCCTCCCGCCCCGCAGGCTTCCTCTGTGGTGGGGGGCACCCCACTTCTCTGGGGGGGGGGCTCCCGCGAGGTGTTAGCATTCTCTTTCACATGCTTTCGGGACCTTACAGTGTTCTCAGTATCGCCAGTTTCTCCTCTGGTCATGTTTTGCTTTTATTTTTATTTTTATTTTTTAAATATATTTTTTGATGTCAGGGAGGAAGGGAGGGGGAGAGAGAGAGATAGAAGCATCCACAATGAGTGAGAATCATGGATCGACTGCCTCCTGCACGCCCTACCCTGGGGATGGAGCCTGCAACCCCAGGCCTGTGTCCTGACCGGGAATTGAACCGTGAGCTCCTGGTTCATAGGTCGACGCTCAGCCCCTGAGCCACGCCGGCCGGCTCTTGTTTTTTTAAACGTAAGACACGGTGAGCTAGGATCTGTTTTATCAAAGGAGTTGGGAATGCGAGCAGCTGGAGGTCCCGAGTCTGGACCTGCCTTTGGCTCCTCACGGGTGGGTTGGGTGCTCCCCTGACCGCCAGCTGCCCCCCCAGCCAGCCTGCAGGTGGGGGCTGCTCAGCACGCAGCTCCCGGGGAAATGTTTGCTGGGACAGTCACCATCGGCTCAGTTTGTCCTCGTCATCACAGCGGCCCTGCCGATACCCGGGGAGGCCCGCGGTCCTGAGCGGCAGCCACCCACAAAAACCACACAGCATTTTACTCAAAACTAACAAGTCCTTTGTGATGCAAAAGTGGTGGAATTTTGGGTACTTTCTGTAAAATCGAAATCTTCACGGGGATTTCCAGCCTTCGAGGCGCTTGTTCACAAATGATGCGCAGAAGGAAGAGGGAGCCGGCCTGCCCACCAGCATCTCCACGGGTTTCCGCGGGGAGGGCGCCACCTCCGCGCGGGGGAGCTCCGCTTTCACAAACGCAGGGACACCAGGGGTGTTTGCATGAGGTTTGCTTGTGAAACGGAGATTTTAGGAGCTTTTCTCTGTCGGTGTTTGGTCCTGACAAAGTCTTCACAGCCAATACCTTCAGGGGCCGATCCCCTGAGGAAGGGGCTGGAAGCGCCAGGCCAGGCAGTGTGGCTGCAGGGCTGGGAGGACCCGGGAGCTGGGAGGTGCTGCGGCCCTTCGCTGGGCGGGAGGAGCGAGCAGGAGGCGCACATTCAGAGCCGGGCCGGGCCAGTTCCTCGGCCTTAACACCCATGTTTCTCTCTGCTTGGTGGCCGACGACAGACCTGGTCTCCAGAGCTGTCAGGAGTCCTCGGTTCCGATCCCTGTCTTAAAGCTGCCTCTTCCTATCACCTAGCACTTAAGCCTTCTTTCAAGCACGTTTTGTTTTTTAAAATCTGTAAGAGGATTATTTCAGCAAAACCCAACCTTGCTTCTGTGTGCTTTTGTAATCCCTTTTGTAATTCATCTTTCTGAATTCCTGTCTCCGCAATGGTCAGGTGCACGTCTCATGATGTGCCTTAAAGTAACCGCGGGCCTCGCCTCACTGCCCCGGCCTCCCTGGGTGACCAGGTGCTGCATGGTCAGCCCACAGCGGCAGTGCCCTCCGCCAGCAAAGGGCTGCGGTGTGGGGAGCCGGCCGCAGGCGTGGTCCATGCCCACAGCGGCGGGGGTCAGGGCCTTAACCCGGTTCCGGATGAGCAGACTCCGTAGCTCCCGGGAAAGACCTGAGTGGGTCCCCGGCACAGAAAGCGAGCTGCGTGTGGTGGCAGCAGAGGCCGAGCCGCGGCAGCGCCCACACTCACACCAGCGCCCGCTGTATGTTTATGTCCCCGCGGCATCCACACCGGGCGGCAGGGCAGCCTCCCGGCAGCGGGGCAGCCGTTGTTTCCAGAACAGCCGAGTGAGAACCGCCTGGACCTCGGACCTCGGGTAAGGGGCATGAGCTTGGTAACGGACCAAGGACACTGTCTCAGTGTTTAAAGATGAAATGGCAGTATTTCCCAAAGCCCAGGGGGACGGTGGGGAGAGCCCCACGACCCAGCCCGGCCTGCACGAGGGGCAGGTCCCCCCTTGGACGGGGCGGGAGCTTTGTAAGACCCTCCGGCTCGCAGGACCTGGCCGCAGCCAGGGAGGACAGCCACGTCGAGGTCCAGTGCGTGCGAGGGCCTGGGCGCCTGGGCGGTCACTGCGCTCACCGCAGCGTCTACACGGACAGGCGGGGAAGTGGCACTGGACTCGCCTGGTCCCCAACGGGCTGTGCTTTAAACCGGCCCCAGACCGTCACCGCCGCCGCCGCCGCCCCGCCCCGCGCGCAGGAAGCCACCAGCCGCCACTCCGTGGTCTGCATCGTTTATTAAACACTTATCCTCACACAGGCATTTACAGACGTCACTCGCTGGAACTCTGCTTTCAACACATTTTTAAAACTTTTTTTTTTTTGCAGAAGAGCCCCTTGTAAAATGAGATCCAGGTACGAAACTCAGCACAGACCTGACGTCTCCTCTCACCCTCCAGCCACCCGCAGGAGAAGCCGCGCGACAGAGAGAAAGCCAGAACGAGGCTCTTTCACAGAACCACGTGTCCGTGTTGGCGCGGAGCTCCCACGGGAGGAGCCCCTTCACCTCTCTGCGGGCTGCATGGGAACACCGCGCAGCTCCGCAGCACGTAGGTTCAGACGAAGGGAAAAACCACCTACCGTTGGGACCAGATAACCTAGGGACCCGCGATGGCGTGTTTTATAGCGCGACACCAACATTCGCCCGGAGCGGACATCGACTGGCCAGTGGGATGCATTGACCCCTTTAAGAAAGTCTATTCACTTCACAAGCTAACGTCTGAGCCTCTAGTTTAGCTCTTGGGCCAAGAAATAGTTTAAACGAGCCATTTGGAAGCTTAAAAGGATCTTTGAAGCTGAAGTTGCTCCTTAAAATGAAGGCGGACTTGCCGCTTCGCAGGCCTGGGGCGCCGACGCTGCCAGTGACGGCCAACGCTGTCCCCACAGGAGCCCCCGTGGCACGGCCCGGGCCTGCGCGCCCCGGCACTACGTTTTGGCAGCAGCATCGTTAGACATTTGTCACATAATATGAACACGCCAGCTCCTAAGACGCGGGCTCCCTCCGGGGCGCTCGGGGGCTACAAGGTCGCTGTGATCGCGTAACCGTATTGCACAGTTTATAAAAAACATAAATACTGGCTATTCTAGATTTAAATACAAAATACATGTCCTATAGCTTTAAATCTATACTCTGGTTCAAGTGCAAATCAGGTGCTTTCTGTAGTCCTTTCCAAAAAAAGGCATTTTTAATATATTTTGGCACACATGAAAGGTCACCGCGCCAATTCTAATTACAATACGTACATCCAGCCTCGAGAGTAGCGATCATGTACATCCAGTATAAACGGAGTATTTACAGATGCCCCGGGCGCAGCCGGAGCCGCGCGGGGCGAGTGGGCTGCTGGGGGTTGGCGTTCATGTGCGGAGGGTGTCCCAGGAGGCCGATCCGCTGCTTCTGCTTCCTCTGTTCCGTCATCTGGAAAGTCAGAAAGTTTCCTCATCAGCCCAGACACTTCCTGTGCGTCAGCGCCCACGGCGAACTGTAGGTTTACCTCTGTGGTTATGGTTTGTACTGAAACCCACTTTCTACACAGACTGTCTCTCTCACACGCAGGCGGCTCCAGAAAGAACCCGCCGGCAGGTGGGGAATTCTGGGGCCCAGCCCTGCCCCGGTGCCCGCCTCCTTCCCTCTGAGATTTGAAAGTCTGCTTT